TCAACACGTCCCTGGCTCTCTCTCTGGTCACCGGCTCCTAGTTGCTGATTCAACTGCTGGGGCTGGCTCGAAAAAGCGGACCTTCGGGGGCCACCAGAAATTACCCCGTACAGTAGTGAGTGGTAGGCCATCTTGGCCTTGGCCCGGCAAGACAAGGCACAAGGTCTGTACAGAGTCGCAAAATTGGCCACCATCTGGTGAATTTCCCAGCAAAACCCATGATGTTGACAACCCAATCTTGGTGGTCAAGTATAGGGCGGATGTCGCGAATTTGCACAGCATGAATGAATGAGCGCAAGAGAAAATAAAACAAAAACAAAAAAAAGTACACACCTGATCTTTGGCTACGCCGTTGGTTGCTAGGGCTTCTCCTTGTGGCCGGGGCACGCCAGCAGCTGTTCCTCCTCTCTTCTTGACAGGGCTAGAAATCATACATAGTTAGCATGATCCGACCAGAGCAGAATGATGATGAAATGAACGAGTCACGGCGCAGTCATCCCAGGCAAAAGCCTTGAGGCTGATAATAAGACAAGCCAAGAGTCAAAGATATGGCATGAATGATCTCACATGCACATCCATGAGTCTCTTCCAAAGGTGGAAGCAGATAAAGCGATATGCATATGACAATAGTCGTGAATTTTGTGATGCACGCCAAATCGCTGGTGATGAAGATGATGATTGAGATATAAACTTACGATGACTTGATACGAAGACCAGTTCTCGGCTTCTTTGGGGGGCGTAGCGTGGGCGTCGCAGCCCGTGATCCTCCGACTGAGCTGTCCTCGCGCTGGAAAGACCACGCAACAGGGGACACGGCAGAGTCAATCTCGTCGTGAGGTCTCTTGCTCGCCGAGCGTGTGGATCTCGTCGTTCCCGCTGAAGCAGAGCCTGCGGCGGCGATGGATTGACGCGTCTTCCTCGACGATTTTGCGGGGGTTGTGAAGGGGTCCTCGTCCTCGTCTCCCCCTCGGATAGAACTCTCAGTCGCCGTGACACTGTTGGCAAACTTTTGCGCATCGCGTCTCCGATCCCAGAAGGAGTCGTCGTTACCATGGCCAGCGTCATCAGCCGTGAATGGAGCTGGGGTCAGGGCAGATGATGATCCCTTGTTCTTTGCTGTCTTTGATTTTGTAGGCAGGTTTGGGAAGATTTGGCCGGCAGAAACCCTTCCTGGCATACTGGCGTCGGCGCTCACGCTGATGGTCGCACTTGCGGGTGCATCAGTGGGTTTGAGTTTGATGCCCTTGGTGATGTCTGGGGTGGACAGTGTGAGAGCTGAGGGTGATGGCTGCTTAGTAGCAGCAGGCTTGGTGGTCTTGGGCTTGGCCTTGCTGCTGGCACCTCCCTTGGAGGCGAGTGATTTGCGGCGGGKGGTGATTGGCCGAGATTTTGGCGCATCACTGGAGTCGGGCCCAGCTGGCCCAGGGCGACTGGTGCCCGTGCCTGTTCTACGGACAGGGCTTGGGCTTCCCATTATGGCCTCAGGCGACGAGAGACTGAGGGCCGATGAGAGAGAGGAATCACTCGATGCTGAGTCTCGTCTGTTTCGCTTGCGCGAGGGTGTTTGGGGTAGGTTACTTGAAGACATTTTCCGTGGCGTGTTGCGGGTCGAGTGAGAGTGGGCGTGGGCGTGAGTCTGAGTATGGGGATGGGTGTTGCTATGATGGGAAGAAGAGTGAGCGCGAGAGTGAGATGTCTTTGCCCTCTTGGTAGCTCGAGCTGGATGTCGATGAGCGTTTTTCACTTGCTCTGCTTCCTCCGAGTCGAGAATATGCACCTCTGACTCGTCTTCAGTCTCGACCTCTACAACCTCGACCACCTCTTCCACCTGATTGTGATGCAGGAGTTTGCCGTACGGCGCGGCCTTGGGTTTGTGAGGAGTGAATCGGCTGTTGGTTGTTGGAGGGATGAAATAGTAGCAGCCTTGGTTGTCCTTCTTGCCCTCTCGCTTCTTCTTCTGCATCTCTCTGGAAAACCTTTGCATCGTAGCCTCATCTGCCGTTTGCGTGAAAACCTCCTCGATCATGGCAACGAACCGCGGGTCGCTTGATTTTTCGTCGTAGAGGGTCCGCAGAGCCCACGCAGTCGGATATCGATAGTGCTTTAGGGCCTCGTCCACTGCAGCCTCGACGACCTTGTCCGTGAATTCTTTGTCTTCAGGTTCTACAGGTTCAGCTGCGTGAATCGTCGCCTCTGTTGTGATTGCCCCTGCTGCCTCCGGCTCCTCATCCTCCTCGAGCTCCTTGAATGACTTGGCTCGTTCCGCTGACTTCGCAGTCTTCTTCGGCTCCCTCTCCGGCTCTCTGCGCTCCTTTGCCTCCTTTGCTGTGGGCTTAGTCACGATGGAGCTTCTGCGACCGGCAGAGGACCGTCGCGACCGTCTTCCTAGAGATGTGCGCCCCGATTGTCGTCTCTTTGGTCGACTCGGGTCGTAGTCTTCGTCGTTCTCATCGTCGGCAGCAGCTGCTGCGTCCTTGAGAACGATAGATACTCTCCGTGGCGGTGTAGGGGGTAGAGCCACAGGTGGAGGGGAAGAGCCTGCCGCTCTCGCCGTAATCGCAACATCCGCCTCCGCATCTGCATCCGCATCCCCGTCCACATCCACGACATCCACCACTGGGTCGCTGGAGCCCATCTGCGCTACATTTTTGGCAGCACTCCCCCCTGAGGGCCGCAATATAATCCTCTTTACTCCTGAATTGGTCTCCGGTCCCGTCTTCTTGGGTTTGGGCAGACTTCCCAGGGGCGCCATATTCTCAACAACCCCGTATCGAACCAACCCATCGTCCTCGAAGCTCGCTTTGCTCTGCACGGTCGGCTCTAGCCAGCGCTGCATGAAAGCTCTTGAACCCTCTGTTGCCCCTTTAGACGCGTCGAGTACTCCGTTCCATTTGGTATTCTGTGACTGCGCGGGACTAGAGTAACGAGATCGCGTAGTTCTGGTATTTGACGAGATCATTGTGCCGGCCTTTGGCATGCCTGACCTGGTGATGGTGGTGGTGGTGTGTTGCGTGTGTGCCTCTCTGCGTGTGCCAGTTGCCGCGGGACGGGGCAGCGCACCTCTCTAGGCCAGCTAAAAGGTTGCTCAGTTAGCAGTGTTCTTGAAATAAAATGCACAAAAGGGGCGGGGTCCAGGTTTTTAATACTTTTATCTTGGGAAGCAGCATGAATTACTGCAACTCTATCGCGTTTTTCCAAGGTCGTGAACGCGGAATGATGATGTTGAAGAGAGAGTGGGTGGGTAGCAGGTTGAGACTCGGCTTTTGCTGTGCTATGGTCAACGCCCTGCCTGCCTCTTCGCCTCGACAGGTCAGTCCTTGAAAAAAAAGACCCCAGACCCAGTGTCAGTCAGTGTCAGTGCATGCATGCACCGGAGCTGACGGCGCGGGTCGGACAGACAAGGGACCAGGGGGGGAAGGTGGCTCAGGGATAACGGGGAGAAAGAGAGTCGATTTTTTCTTATCTGTTTCCCTTGTCACTTTCACCCTCTTATTCACTAACTTATAAGCGACAGCTAAAGTAAAAACCGCGGAATAGGTGCTAATAAGTTTGCTCCCTTGGGTACATACTTTCGTGAACCAGGAAGGGACTGTATGGGATGGAAGTGGCTCTGCATGCTTCATGTATCTAGGTACTAACCTAGGTCCTCCACTACCTAAGATAGGATAGTTTTCAGTGGCTCCTGAAGCACTGAAGCTTCTAAAACACCCTCCCTGGCTTTAGGTACTCAGTTACATTGGATGTGCTCACCTTTCCGAGTTCGCCTCCTTTCCTACTTCTACATAGTATGTACTTTGTTTTGTTTTGTTTTGATTTGCTTTGCTTTACTTCTTTTCTTTTTTTTCTTCCCTTTCATCCTTTCCATTGGACTGATGTTCATTTCTCTACGCAGTTCCACAAAGAGCTCTGTGTCTTAGCCGTGGTAAAATAGCTTGAGCTTCCAGGTAATAAAGCCCAGGTTAATAGAGCTCTCCTCCCTCACCCCCAGCAACCAGCCACCCACACTCACCCCCCAACCCATCCACAAAGGTAGCTCAAGCTTAATATGCTACAGAGTGCAGCTGGAGCCTGATGGCTCATACATACATTGGATTTCATTTCATGCCCAACTCTTGTTTTGGTATGTGTAATGATACTCGAGAGTAGCGTCTCATCATGTCGTTTGTATGAATGGATAAATAGGGGCTGGCTTGGCTCACCTCGATATCTGCAGCTAACAGTGCGACGGGCATATGATGCCCTACGCCGACAGCAATAGACATCAAACTGGCATGGCACTGTTGGTACTGTACTGTGTTTCAACAACGACTCAACATGGTCATCCTTTATCTGCAAGTCCCGGCACTCAAGGCAGCCACATCACCAATAACTGGACGACTGTCTGGCCTCTGCTCTCCGCACTTTGCTACCATGTATCGTCATAAACCATATGCTGCCAGGGGGTCTGCTCCATCAATGGGCATGGCAAAGAGTGGCTCACGCTCACTCGGTACTTTGGTATTCAGCACCTGTGCAAAAACTCGCAGTATCGTGTGTTCTCCCTAAGGTAATTTGCGTTCTCGGTCATATTGCCTCTCGCTCGCTAACCATCTTTGTCAGTCTCATCGCTACTGTGCCCAGCCTGCCTTGGTATGCCTCAACGACTCAGTCAGTTCGGTTGAACTCTTGCAAGCATGCATCACATAAGACAGAATTCCATGGTTGATCAGTATCAGGTTGTGTTAGGCTTATATATATCTTTGTGGTCATGCCAGACCATCTGGCAAACACGGTGGGTTTCGCTTTTCGAGATTCCAATCATGCATATTGACCATCCAGCTGCCCACTCTGTTCGATGGAAGTATTTTTATCCACACAACTCGTCCAACGGTAGAGATGCTTGTGAGCCTGAATGTTGGGTTTGCATCCTGTTTGACTTGATTCTTGTTTGCATATCCTCGGGTTCTTTCATCAATTGTTCAGCAACTCTCCAGCTTGTCCGCTTATCTTGTCGTTTTCTTTTACTCTTCATCGTCCTCCTTCTTGGCGGTCTTCTTCTTAGGCTTGCTCTTCTTCTTGCCGGTGTTTCTGGCTAGGGGCTGCTCCAGGATCTTGAGAACCTCCTCATCCTCAATCTTCTTGTCGGACTCATACTTCTCGAGGTCCAGAGGAGGTGGGCCACCAAGCTTGGTGATACCGTTCTTGGTAATGGCTGCATGTCGTGTCAGTATCAACTATCGAACTGGTCAACCTCTCGATGTGCGACTTACCAAGGGTTGTGAGATATCGAGCAACAGGGGAGTTGTCCTTGTCACCAACTAGCTCATATTGGCGGAATACGTTGCCTCGGACACACTCGACGACACCAGACTTGGCATCACGCTCGTCCTCGAGCTGTCGCAAGCTGAAGGGGAAGATGCCGAACTTCTTCTGGACCTCGTTGAGGATCTTTCGCGAGGTGGGTCGCTTAAGACCGTAGGTCTGGTTGGTGCGGCGGTGGAGGGTAGCACGCTGGTCAAGACCCTTCACCTTGCCCGAGCCCAGGCTGACACCGGTCTCGACACCCCATACCTCACCAACCTCAGGAACGCCCTCGCCCTTGGTGCCCTCGGCGGGGGCAAGGACAATCTTCTTGCTACCCTCAATCTCGTTGTGGTCGAACAACCAAGAGGTGGTGCTCTCGACGAGGTTAACTTCGTAGGCCTTGGTGACCTTTTCCAGGAGGCTGGTGATCTTGGCCTGTGTAGGGGCCTTCTGAGAGGCAGCCTTGGCCTTCTCCTCCTCGCTCCCCTGGCTGAGGAGACCGGGGGGGATCATCAGTCGCAGGAGAAGCTCGTTGACATAGTAGTTGGCGAGAACCAGGTCAGCGGTGCGACCAGTGATCTTGTCGCCTGCCTTGTCCTCTGGGGTGGCAATCACGGTGTCACAGACAATGGAACCGAAGCCATCGATCTGGGCACCTAGTTGGATCTTGATAGCCTCACCATCCTTGATCTCGGTGTTGGCCTCAGCCTCGTCGGAGGTGAGAGGAGTATAGGGAGTGACGTAGGACGAGGGGGAGACGGTAGTGGGGTGGGAGAAACCTTTCAGGTGGTGTCAGCTTCAGCGATGTCCACAGACCAAGTCTTGCGTGTGTGTGACGAAGACGAACCCTTGTTGATCTTCTTTCCTCGGTAAACCTTGGCAACCTCTTCTTCGATCAGCTTGTCACCCTGCTGGCAGATGTCGACGATCTTGGCGCCAGGGACGACGAGCTTTGAGACCTCAGCAAGGACCTTCTCGGAGATCTGAGCGGCGGTCTTGTACTTGGTAAGGGTATCTGGGTTAGCCAGAGAGTAGTCTGCGTGGTTATGTCAGCACAGTAGAGCTCAATGCGACAAAATTGGTGTGCCTGTGTGAGGCCATCGCGGGGTACTGATGACGAGGGCATTCGCAGTAAATGCTGTTGTGTGGTGGCGGGGCAGTGAGGAGCAACGAGGGGCAGCAACAGTCAGTCGTGTGCCTCCGACGGGACAGCCGCCCACGCCCAGTGCACGGCAGAGCTACAGAGGAGCTTTGAGATCCTACATGGCATGGAAGGGAAGGGATTGGATGGGAGAGCTAATTGGGGCTTTTTCCGGGGGGGAACTCACCGATTTCCTTGGTCTCGGACGACATGATGGGCAATACTTGTTGACTCGTTGGGTTTAAAAAGGTGAAAGAAGAACTGCAAATGCAAATGCCGGGGAAGAGTGGATGAAGGCTTGAGCAAGTCAAGTCAGGTCGGGTCAGTCGCACGCGCGCACACAAGAATCAGAATCCAATCCAATCCAATACGAATAGCGCCCAGTGTGGAATGGGGACTTGGAAGTGGGGTTTGATGAGCAGCGAGGGTTTCGACAACAGGGTTTGGTTTGTTCTACTTTACCCAAGGTATTTGGTGGAGGATGGAGCGTGAAGCAGCAGTATTTATTTATTCATTTTTATTCATTTTTATTCATTTTTATTTACTAGGGACCTACTACACCTACTATCCACCAGATTCGGCATCAGGTATTTATTTGCCTACTAACCTACCTGTATATTGTCGTGGTTTGTTGTGACTCTCCCCAGCGAGTCGTTGTATACATAGGTCTTTTGACCTGTTGTTGGCCCAGCTCATGCCATTCCTCGATGACTCGACTGTTAGGTAGACAAATAAATATCCGTGCAGTGTGGGCGTGTTTGTGTGCGCAAGCAGCCGCCACATGCATGCATGCATGCTTGCAGCCAGACAGACATGGACGTCCGTGAGGAGTCCTTGATGGTCCAAGCCGACGATATTCACTCGGCAAACGGTTTCTCTGATATCCATGGGAGCCTGGCTGCCTGGGCATGCTGTATTTCTCCACTTGTTCACTTTCTCACGTTATTCTCTTAGGGGGGTAGCCACCTTTTTTGGCAACACAGTTCATTTATTTAACAACCCAGGCAGTTTTGGTAATGAGGGGCAGTGTACACATCCATCCATGCCACAAATCATCCATGACTTCATCTAGCCCTGGACTATTTCCATATTAGGTACCTTAGGCTGCGGCTACACCCATCCATCATCGTCAGCCTCTGTTGGCTGCATACCCTACAGTTCCCAGGTCCCGCGCCCAGCATGTAACAATTCTGTAATTTGGTTTGCTGCTCCAGGGCGATTTATTAGGAGCATCTGGGCAGCATAACTTATTGACTTATTAGATTCGATGTAATTGCGTTTTACTTGCAAGCTGTTTGGCCTCGGCCGTTGCAAGGCGTACATCATCAGCATCAACATCACAACCTTGAGGTTACAAGCTTGTCGGCGACTTTATGTGACGAGGTTCACATTCAGCCAAGAAAATAAAGATCATCGGTAATTATAAGCCTTCCCAGTCTACTAAAATCCAAGCTTATTCACATAGCTCAGTAGTTACCGTAATATGCTGCAGGTAATTTAGTACGGTCATTCAGTAGAATATTCAGGACTACCTAGGTACCTATTAAGTCATTCTTTGAAGCTCCAGACTGCGAACTCTATAGTAACACAAGGTATCCCAAGACATATCAAATATAAAGAAAAACAAGGCAGACTATGCATAGTAGGAATAAAGAGTAAGGTAATAAGTACTATGTACCTAGGTTAGCACACAGAAGACATCATCTCAATGACGAGCAACTCCATGTCAGGTACCCTCAACTTACCGAATTACAAGCCACATCTAAATGCTCCGTACCTAGGTAGATACTAAGGTACCTAGTGCATATGTACCTGTACAGACACAGGTGGCGCAGCCGAGTCGAGATACATCAGTCGGCACGGGAAATATACGTCGATGTAACGTACAGCTACATCCAGCCACAGGACGCCCTGGCTGATCAAACTCACGTCCCGGTCGCAGCGTGGCCCGGCAGAAATCCTCACGTCCCCCAGCCTGCACCAGCATTGGCAGGCAACCTTAGTAACTTAACTGAACTTAATAAATCGTCGAGCCTTGCCGCCTCGCGGTTTTTAACCTTTAGCCTTTCATCCAACAACGCCGATTCCACCGGCCAAGATCAACGTTCAGATAAGACATCCAACTATCCGCCGCGTGCTGAACACAAAAAGTTGTAAACTCTCGCTTGCTTCCTTTCTAACGCGGCAGTTCCGCTGCGCCGCGACCCGCGACCGCGATCCACGCCCCCGTTACCGTCTGAACATGACCGCCCAGCCCTCCGCGTCAACGTCTTCGGCGCTGGCCACGGGCTCGGCTGCCACAGGCGCAGATAAGGATGTGTCCTCCTCGAAATCCCCCAGTAACATGCCGGTGCGCACGAAGGAGTCCTTCGATAAACTCATGGTCGAGCGGTACATCACCCGCGATGCCATCGCCGCCGCGGCGCTCGGCGGTCAGCTCGACCAGACACGCAGGATAATGAGCGACACGCGCGAAAAGATCCAAGAATACCGCCAGGTCCGCACCGAGTATCGTCAATGGTTCCCCCCGTCGAGGCTCTACGGTGAGGGCTACAATGGCTTCGCCAATGGATACACAGAGAACCAAGGACCATCACGAATCATCTATCCCTCCCAGAAGCCCCGACCTGGCCAACGAACGACGCCACCCCTCAAGTACAAGCGCAAGGATATGCTGAAGCAGGCCGAGCAGCACGAGGAGTTGGTCCCGTTGCGTTTAGAGGTCGAATGGGACAAGATCAAGCTGCGTGATACCTTTACCTGGAATTTGCACGAGAGGCTTCTCCAGGTTGAATTGTTCGCCGCCCAGCTCGTTGAAGACATGGGCCTAAAGCCCCCCGCGTCTCAACCGGTATACGAGCAGGTTGTTCATCAAATGCGAGAGCAGCTCAATGATTTTTACCCGCTGGTATACTCGGAAGATGATGCGCTTGACCCCGAGCTCCCCTATTCAGCATACAAAAACGACGAGATGCGAATCCTCGTCAAGCTGAATATTACGATTGGCCAGCATACCCTTGTTGACCAGTTCGAATGGGAAATCAACAACCCGTCAAACTCGCCAGAGGACTTTGCTGCCAACATGGCTCGGGATCTGTCCCTATCTGGGGAGTTTACAACCGCCATCGCACACTGTATTCGAGAGCAGACACAACTCTTTACCAGGAGTCTATACAGCGTTGGCCACCCGTTCGATGGTCGGCCAGTCGAAGACCCTGATCTCGTCGGCGCATTCCTTCAGACACCTCTCCCTACTGTCTTCAGACCGCAGCAGCAGGCCAAGGAATACGCACCATATCTCTACGAACTCAGCGAAGCAGATCTGGAGCGGAACGAGACGATATTCTCTCGTGAGCAGCGTCGCCAGAAGCGATCGATCAACAGAAGAGGAGGTCCCCAGCTGCCCGATCTCAGAGAACGGCAAAGAACCATTCGAACATTGGTCGTCTCTTCTGTTTTGCCTGGGGCTGCGGCTACCATCGACGAGAGTAGACTCTACAAACGGGCTGCTGGCCCTAGGGCGAAGCGCGTTGTACGTGATGGAGAGATCTCAGATTCAGATGATAGCGACGATTCAGCCCCTGACTCACCCGCCCCGTCACAAATCACGGGCGGTACTGCTCGAACACGAGGTATGCGCGGTGCTGCATCTGCAGCTCAACAAAGAATGGCGAACATCGGCCGGTCTGAAACCCCTGAATCGAGTGCCATTACACATCACCACGAGACTAGGACCTCCCGCCGGTTCAGAGAGGAAACAGAGGAGCCGTTGCAGTTGATCGTGACGCTCAAGCTGTCCTGCGACAAGCTGAGGCGGTTGATGAACCGCGACTACTCAGACTTGAGGCCGCCATCTCAGACACCAGTGTCCTTCCCACGAGCACCCAGCGCGTCCACTCCATCACGATCCATGCCACCGCCACCTTCGACCCCGTCCAGCGCTATGCCTCACGCTTCAGCAACTCCATCCTCGTCCCTTCCGCCAGGTCAACTTGGCCGGCTACCGGCACCCCCAACGGTTCCTGGACAGTCTTCTCACATGCCATCAGTAGGTCACCAAGCCTTTGAATAACACGCACATCGACAGTGGTACTGACTGCAATTCTCCTCCAGCCCCCGGCCCCGGAATGGCTTGTCAATGCCCTCAAGGATTTAGAGAAGACCTATAACCGTGGCGACAGGTTCGAGGCCACGATGAAGTACTCCTTTCTGCACCCCGTGACAGAGCTGCCTATCCAAGGCCAGCCTCTGCCCGAAGGTGTTAAATATGCCTGGCTGCCGCGTATCCGCTGCCTGGACTGTACAACCAAGCTCTATACACCTGGCCCAGATATGACGGTCAAGAAGTTTGAGACCCATCTCGATTTTTCAGGGCACAAGAATGCTGTTGCGAAGCGCGTGGCGAGGGAGGCCAATCCCTGAATTTCCGATTTATTATGTGGGCGCTTCTCAAGCAGCATGTGAAACAGAGGTTTCGCCACTGTAACATATACCTTACTGCCTGGCCTTGTTGTCTTGGGCTGCATCTTGCTTGATGACCGAATGGGCGTTCTTGGTTCTTTGCAAATATACTTGGCCTCGGGATTTTCAGTTTCAAAGACAGAGTTTGTGACTGGTGGATTTTCATCATCGTTTTGTACATAAAGCCTCGAGTTATGTGAGCACAGAAGGGAATGACGGGGTCACGAGGAACCGACGAAACGAACAGCACGAACAGCTGTCTCCCCTTCTTCAGGTTGGTCTATTATTCATTTTGGAGTCTACGGGAGAACTGGGTGCTGTACAACCGAGCTAGGACATGAAGTTAAATATCAATATTAGAGCGTTTGCTTGCATGTTTCTCATGCTTGATATGTATAGCCATGACTGGCCTTTTGGGTACATACAACATGAAAGGTCACTCATGACTTGTAAATCGAGAATGAGATGTCATGAAATCGAAATGCTATTGCTTGAGTCCCGTATGAGAGGGTATACGACAAGACAATTACCCACAAACCAAAGACTGCCTTCGCTGTATGACAGAAGTCGAACCGACTCCCCGAATCTCATCAGCTTTGTCGCCACTCTTGTATCTATATAAGAGAGAAGATCAGACCCAACAATAATAGAAGAGGCATGATTTCAAAATATTGGCATCCTGTAATCCCAACCATGATACTTGGGCCCCTTGGTTACTCGTCAGCATCAACTTCCATATCGTCTGTGCCCTTGCCTCGTCGTGGCCTCGTCGACCTTGTTGGTCGTTTTACCTCTGCAAGAACACTGGCCTTGACAGCTGGCTTAGATGCAACCCTGCCCTTCAGTGATGGAGCGGCGTTTCTTCCGTTGAATCGGGCTTCTTCGGCCTTATCCGCTTTCGGTTCTGGAGGCTCGTCGTTATCCGATGCCTTGTTACTATCGTCATTTTCGTCTTCCTCTGGGGGAGCGTCCGAAAGCTCTGATTCATCGTCTTCTGAACTGGCCTCGCCACCTTCACTATCATTTTCTGGGTATTCCCAGTCGGCCACGCCCTCCAGCATCTCCTCCTCGTCCTCATCGTCTTCTCGCTCTGTATAGACAGACACCTTATGAGCTCTACCACTGCGACGACGTTCCGAAGGCGGTGGTGTGTCTTTGACTGGCCTGGATTTCCTAGGTTTCGAGACCTTTTTGGGCCTGCTATCACGCTTCTCTCGGATGACTGTCTTGATTTGAGTTCTCGCCCTCTTTGCTGGAGGATCCTGCTTTTCTCCTGTTGATTTTCGTTTCTATGATCAATCATTAGAAGTGGTCTTCGTAGTGACTAAGGAGCACAAACCTTCTTGCGATCGGCAGCTTTGAGCAGTTCGTCCAACTTCTCGTCTAGCTCTTCTGGCATATATTGCTTCTGCGCAATCTCATGGGCAACGCTACTCGACGGCAAGCTTTGCACAAGACCGCTTGGCAGGCCGACATTGCCGGAATAAGCCTGGAAAACCCAGTTCTTCCTCTCTTGCCACTTGCGTGTGACGGCCATTGCGATATCAGCCAGCACGTATATCCGCTCGCTAGCCTCGGGGTTCAGTGCATCGCGCGTTTGCTTGACACGCTCAGCGTACTTGTAGATCAATGAAATGTTCTCTTCTGTCGCACAGGTATTTAGATAAAAAACGAAATAGTTGGCAAAATCAGCCAGGTCATCAACGTCAGAGCTGTAGTCAGGATGGTGAGCCAGGAGAGGAATGAAACGGCTAATCATGGCCTCGAGTACGTGAGTCTTGTTTTGAGCAAAGAGTCGGGCTCTGGACCTCAGCCACGTTTCTACCCGGCTTTTGAGTTCTACTGCTGGCTCGAAAGCAGCCAAAAAGAGCATTGTGTAAAATCTTGCCCGCAATCTTCCCTGAGTGATGTAACTTTGTAATTTCTCCATGAAATGACGACGAACCTCAAGTTCTGTGTCTTGCACGAGCTCTGCAAGTTTGTTGAAGCTTGCGGGATCAAACTCGTTGTCGTACTTTTTGACAGTACATAATTTCAGGATTAGAAGTCCAGCAAGAAGTCTCAGTCGTTTTTTGTGAGCCAATGGAGTATCCTTAACTTTGCAAAACTCTCCTTCTTGTACCACAAATTCTTTCAGGAGTTTAAAGACCAGTTTCACTCGAGTCAGAGAGTCATCGTCGTCCTGGTTGGCGAGCGCTTGATTGACCAGCGTCTTCATAGAGAGACATTTCGCTTGTAGTTCCTCATTCATGTCCTCATCCTCGACCCAGGAAACCTCAGAGTTCTTGTCATCGGTACGTACTTGACGCAGAATCTGCTTGATCGTTAGGTCGTTGATTGTCCCATCAAAGTCTAGAGTGACTGTTGGTGCTAGGCGTTCAAGCTGGCTGACGGCAGCTAATCTCGTCAAGAAATGCGGCGAGCCATACTTGAAGTCCTTCATGATTCTTTGCAGAAGAGCAGTGGCAGTAACTTTGCTCTTGTCATCGTTCTTAGCAAGCAGAATATTGACTGCATACTTGGCACTCCTGGCAGGAACACCACATAAGGCGTAATCCATAAGAACCTGGATGAACTTCTTGTCGTAGGTAATTTCCTGGGGGTATCTTTTAGAATAGGACGAGTATGCCTTGAGAATATCTACCACCGCGGGCTCGTTAGGCTGACTGCCCGACGGTGCTTGGCTGATGATCTCCTTTCTGAGATTGTCCGAATGAGCCTTGAAAAGCGCAGGATTCCGCTGTGATATATCATTTAAGATCTCATGGGCGACTGTAGAGAATCCAGCTTTGTCATTCTTGGAGTAGTCCATAATCGTAGCCAAGTGACTCCGATTGTACATCAAAGAGCCGGCCCGGTAAATTAGAGGAATGAGGGTATCCAAACAGCTCGCTGACCCCGGGTTACTTTGGACCTTGGCAATCAACTCCTTAATGGCTCTTCGAACATGGAGATATTCGGTATCGGATGCAATAATGAACTTGAGAAGCTGGTAACAACGGCGGTCGTTGAGTTTGGCAAACTTCTGGAGATCGCTACGGACCTTGAGCGGATCCGGGAAAAACGCACCGAACCACTGGAAGGTCTTGCTCAAGGCGGCTTTGACCTTTTCCTCGTTCGCATTGATCACCCCCCCGTTATAGGCTTCACATTGTTGAATGAACACTTCAACTCCCTTGGCAACCTGGGGCTGACGGGCCTGCATGATGAAAAAAGCCCTCTTGGCTGACGCATCCAGTGACTTAAGCAACAGTAGGATCCTCTCTGCGCGAGTCTTGTCCTGATCCGCCTGGCTATTGGCCGTCTGCAACTGAGAGGCCACCTTTGATTTTGCGCCCTTTATGAAGGGATACTTCAAAGGGACCAAACACTCGAACATGACCCTTTCAAGAAGAATGATGAGATCCTCATCGCCGATATACCACACACTGAGGATACGCGAAGGCACACCACCTAAGCAGGATATGACAGCCTCTTGCCCATCAGCAATCTCCCCAGCACCAACTGACCACAACTTTGCCAGTAGAACCATGGCTTCAACACGCACGGCAGGCTTCTTATCACGAGATCGATCCGCCAAACTGGCAAATATTGAGCCAGTCTTCTCTACACCCCCGAGTGCTCCAAGTTTCAGAACGATGTCGCGGAAATCGAACAGCTCGACTGCCTGCACCGCAGCCAGCCGAACTTTCTCTTCGCTGTCATTGAGCTTTTCGTAGAGTGCCTTGATGAGCTCATTCTCCTCCTCACGGCTAAGACCAATGCCCCCTGCAGACGTGGCCAATATATAACCGGCAGCAGAGATCCAGGCCGCCCGAATGATGGCGGCCTTGTCGTTCTTTCTCCCGACGAAGTTGCGATAGGCGGCATGATGTGTTTGAGCAAAAGACTGAGGAGAGTAAGGTTTTGTCAAGACGTTCTCGACTGCTGGAGTTGGAGTATCGTCCAGTAATTTTATGGGAGGATAAGCCGCTGGTTCCAACGAAGGAGGAGGAGGTGGCCCCGCTGCACCAATGCCTGAAACCATATCGCCAATCGTCTCTGTGGCGATTTGACGAAGATGCACATTGTCTGCTGAAAGCTCCGCATCGAGCTGCGGTACCACGTTCGAAAGAACTGTCGGGGCGGCTCGCCATAATTCGCGAATGAGGAGATGGGCTTGACGGAGACTCCTCAGATCTGCCTCTGATGGGCCAAGAGTCCCGTCTTCATCATCAGAATCATCCGGATGTCGCTGCACATTGGATTTCGTAGCGAAGCCGGAAGCGTTGAGAATAACGTCACTGAAGTATTGACTGACGTAACGTGCCATTTTGTCAGAGCATCCATTGCATATATTTTTCGCCATGACATATGCTGGTGGTTCTTCTTTGAGAAGAAGAGTGGATTGATTCCCGTTCTGTCCTCTATGTCGATTTCCACCGGGAGGAGCAGCTCTCAGAAACTGACTGATAATCGCGTCGACAACAGAAGCTGACACACTCTCGGCCTCGTCAATCAACTGCATTAGCATTTCTGTCAGGTGAATCTCAACATCTTTAGCGACCTGTTCCTCAGACGCTGATTTAGAACCAGATGCCGACACTCCGTCAAATGTGCTGTTGAAGAGTCTCAACAATAGATCGTCAGCATTTGAGATTTGGTGGAGGAGCAAAATACTCTTGACTTCCGTAAGAGATGCCAAAACGTATTTGTGCTGGCTGTCATATGGATTTGTGGGATCGTGCAGAGCTGGCAGGATATCCTTGATGAACAAGGTGAATATCATCTGGAGCATGTTAGCATGGTACAGATACAGAAGGAGAATCGTGCCGAACACACTTTGATCTGGTCGTCGGTAAAAGGAGCATCGGGAACGAAGAGCCGAAGAATGTCGACTAGGCAGCATGCTGTGTATGCCTTGACACCGCCATCCTTGTGCTGAAGTAGGTTACGGTGTCCTAATTGTTTGGCCACATGCC